GGGGAGGGAGCTAGGAGAATGAGAGGGGGAGAAGAGGAAGGTTAGGGAGGACATGAAGGAGCAGAAAGGTTGAGTCAGGGGAAGAACAGAAGATAACAAGAAAGGTGATACCATAATAGAGGGAGACATTTTAGGTGTACAGAGAAATAAGGCATTAGGGGAAGGACTGGAGATCTACAAAGATGACACCAGCTAACTATCTCAGCAATGGAGGAGAGGCTGCCTTAAATGCCCTTCCCTGATTATAAGATTGATGACTGACTTATATGCCTTCATCCAGCAGCTGGTGGAAGTAGAAGCAGACACCCATAACTAATCACTGGTCTGAACTGAAACCCAGATGCAGAGAAGGACCAGTGAAGAGCACAGAGGTCCAGACCATGCTGGTGAAACACATAGAAACAGCTGACCTGAACATCCGGGAAATCTTGCTCCCCAGTCTGATAGCTAGAATACCAGCATGGGACTGATTCAGACCCAAGGAATATGGGTTTCTGTGAGGAAACCTCAGAAATCAGTGGGACCTCCTGTAGAAGCCCAGTATTTATCCCTAGCATAGGTGTGGACTTTGGGAGCCCAGTCCATATAGAGGAATACTCCCTGAGCCAAGACACATGGGGGTGGGCCTAGGCCCTACCCCAAAGGAAACCAAAGACACTGATGACACCCTATGGAAGGCCTCACCATCCAGGGGGAGCAGAAAAGATATGTGACAGATAAGGTTTTAGTTGGGGGGGCGGGTAGGGGAGGACAGGTAGGAGAAGGGAAATGGGGTTGTCATGTAAAACAATCCTGTTTCTAATTCAAATAAAAAAAGTTGGAAAAAATATATACATTTAGAAAAAAAAGAGTCATTTCAGTAAAATAATTAATAAATAAATAGCCGTGTATGTTGACTGATGAAGAAGGTAAGCAAGGAGTACACTAGAAATATTACAACAGATACATATCTTTGAATTTCATAATGTACAATGATTCAGAGTTAAGGAAGCTCCAGAGAGCACACAGCCACTGTAACACTAACCTCTGGGGACCTGGTGCTTTCCTCTAGGTTTTATAGCCAGCCAGATTCAGAAAACAAGAGCAACAGTTGGGTTTGTCACCCAATAATGGATTCATACAAGAAACCATTTTTGGCTTCTTTAATATTTTTTCTGGGAAGAGGAATCTCATCCTCATGTCTTCCAGGCTACAAGAATCTCTAGAAAATATCATCTAACAGGGAGTTCAAAACATCTTTCCATTCCTATAGTCTTCCTAATAGATATCCAGCCTCAGAGGACTTCTGTCATATGAGCTTGGAGTCCATCACAAACCCACTTCTAAAGAAAGATATCCTAGAGGCCTTTACCAAGTGCAATATAGCCAGGCCAAAAAGAAATTAATATCAAGATGTTAAAATCCAACTTATAAAGGATAGTGTGAGCCACTTTCCAATATCCTCTGGCTCCCCAAGGAATATGGAAAAAGAACTTGTGGAACAGACTGGCAAAGTACAGGGGGCAAAAGAGAATCAGAACTTGGGTGCTGCAAACTCATTAGCAATGCATCATCACGGAACTATTTCATCTCTTTGACTACTGATGGCCTCATTTGCACAATGAGCATGCTGTGAAGGACTATGGGCTGGTGACAAATAGTTACAAGTGTCACACCAGGTAAAAGTAGCTAACACTTTTGTCATTTACTTTGTATGAAGCACTAAAATAAGTAAATATCAACATAGATTGAGAAAACTACCGCACTCTAGGAAATCATGTAATGCCAATACTTCAGAAACAGAACTTGAACAGTGAGTTCCTTCACAGAAGACCCTGATCTTAAGCCACTGTACTGCATTGCCAATTAAAGGAGTCCTATACTGAGAAAGATTCAGTAGAATCAATTCGTAGCCATGCTTATTGATGTTAACTTTCCTAACACACTTCAAAGGAGAGTATAGCTATTAAAAATACTCAAAACTGAAATACCTGGGACATGGCTGCAGAAGTTCCGCTTCAGCAATGCAGGTCTCTTTCTCAAGAAGTTCTGGGCATTCCTGCCCACCACCAATAGCAATGTGCTTGACGTTCCGGCTCCTGCTCCTGACTCCAGGTGATAGACTCCCAGAACGACAGGTCTTGGAGCAGGGGCTCCAGGGGGACCACTCTGAAGTCTCACAATCCTTTGGCATCACACAGGGCTGGACAGTCAGTGGAAAGGAATCTTGCATGCAAAGGCTGAAAGAAATAATAGGAAAGATAATTAAAACATAGATTAAATGGATTCCGCCAGCATTATGAAATTGTTACTATGATAAAAAATTTTTAAAATCTAGTTTGAGCTCTGTGTGTGTGTGTGTGTGTGTATGTTTGTGTGTGTGTGTGTGTGTGTGTGTGTGTGTGTACCATGCCAATGCACACATGTGAAGGTCAGAAGACAACTTTGTGGAGTTGATTCACTCTTTCCAACATGTGGGTCAGGATTGGCAGCAGTATTTAAACCTGCTGAGACATCTTTCTCCCCCTAATTTGATAATTTAATAGAAATTCCTTTTTAAAGGAATAGGTATCCAGACAGAACAATAAAATATATTACATACTAAGAATATAAACTTATTGCAAATAGTGGGTACATGCCTGTGACTCCATCTATCTATTCAGGAGGTCAAGTCATGAGGGGATTGCAAATAGTGGGTACATGCCTGTGACTCCATCTATCTATTCAGGAGGCCGAGGCATGAGGGTATTTTGAGACTAGGAATTCTAAGTAAGGACCCATCTTAAAAAAGATTTTACTCTACTTCACACATAGCAACAAAGCTGCCACACTCTAGAGGGATGCTTACAGAAGATAGACCCTACCTTATCCCTTGCCCAAAAATGTCTCCATCATGAATGTAAACTATTATCAGTCACTGACTGGATGTGCACTGTGCTGTCTGGAAGCAGTGTTATGGGGTTGCATTTTTTTATATCCACTTAGCAGAGAGGAGAACTTGGGCTCATGGAACCTACATGATTTGTCCACTGTCAACTGAGGATAAATGAAAGCTTTTGAGTAAGCTATCTATTCTTAGAACTACTGCCATACTTTTTAAAATGGAGGATTGATTATGCTTCTACACACTATTTGGCACTTAGCAGCAAGATTTTTTCACATGTAAAATTTGTGTAAAATTAAATAATTCTGAGAGTCTTCTTTGAGAGGTAGATACACTAAAGGCTGCGATGATGAAGTGAACACCACAGGCCTTGTGTGACTAAGGAGAAGCCGAAGAGAGGGAGACAGAAGCCAGATGGGAAGGCCACCAGTGGTTAGATTTTTGAAGGGCAGATGGGAGCTCTGCAGACCCAGGAGGAACACTGCTCGTTCAGGGAAAATGTACACTTGAAACCTTAAGATAATACTACTCCACTGGGGTGTGAACGGGTATTAAGTTGGAGCCAAATGCTAAATTTTCAAAACACTTGACTTTGTGTAAATAACTTTTTAGAAATGACCGCAATGGGTGCATTTACACTATAAAAATTGACAAATGCTGTAAATCAATCTCTCTCTCTCTCTTATCATACAAGCCTGGTTGCTAAATCTTTCTAGGTACCATTGGGCAAGAGTTAAACCCCATTCGGATTTGCTGAAGTTAAAGGGCAAGTAGGAAAGTAGAGAGACAGGAAGTGGAGCATTCTTGAAAAGTGGACATGAAAAGTGAGATAGCTCATCAGCCCCTTTTAGAGCCTGAACCTAAGCTTGTTCCCAGCCTCTGTGCCAGGCACTGTGGTAGTTTGAATGTAATTGGCCTCCATAATCTCACAGGGAGTGGCACTCTTAAGAGGTGTGGCATTTTTTGAGTGGGTATGGCCTTGGAGGAAATTTGTCACTGTAGGGGAGGGTTTTGAGGCTCCCTATGCTCGGGTTACTGCCCAGTGAGTCGGTCGACTTCCTGCTGCCTTCTGGTCAGGGTATAGCTAGCACCATGGCCGCCTGCACTTTGCCATGCTCCCCATCATGATGATAATGGACTGAACTTCTGAAACGGTAAGTGAACCACCCCAATTAAATGTTTTCTTTGTAAGAGTTGCATGGTCATGGTGCTACTTCACAGCAATAAAATCTCTAACTAAGACAGGCATCTAACTAACAACTGTCTGTATCTCCAGCTATAGGAGATCTGACACACTCTTCTGGCCTCCAGAGCCACCCGCACTCACATGGATACACTCCTACTCAGACACATAGTTTGAAACAAATCTTTTCAAAAGAGGTCTGGAAAGATTTCATGTTATGGGTAATGGAACATTAATTTAATTGAGACGAAATAATTCTTAGTGGAGGAAAATCAGACTCAGGAGCATAATATACAACATATTCACTGGCATTCCTTTATTTTTGCCAATTCCTTGTTATTAGTACTCACCTTGGTTAGTCCAAAGCACCAAAAAGTTTGAGAGGCAAAGGATAATCTTCATAGAAATGTAAGCATGTCAGTGTTTGCATACCAGCTCCCAAAGTTAACAACACAGCCTGGCTGAGTACTGAGCTGTACAGAGATTTTTGTGGTGATTCCCCCATCTCTAGGCATAATGTTTCTAGTTTGTTTTTTTTTTTTTAACTTGGGGTAATATGTAAATAGGAGATCTACCTTGAACAAAGCAGAAGAAAACAAGTTCATGACTGCTCACACTAGGGATCAGCTTAAAGTGAGATTTACATGTTCATATGTTTGTGTTAAGCCGCTGAGGGTTAATGTCACATTCCTAGATAATATCAGATAAAGCTGTGATCCACTGTTTCATTTCTTAAACTCCATTTAGAATGTGTTAGTTCTTATAAAATGAAAAGGACAGCACATATCATAATTCATTAATTTGATGTCATGGGCTCTGGATCTGGGATGAAATGCATGAGGAAGAACTTCCAATCCGCCTAACACAGAACACACTGTCACTCTCAGTAGGCTGTGTTAAAGGCAGTGATTGGGAAGGGCTGTCATTCTTCAATATGATACAATGGGACGCTGCTGATCGATTGACAAAACATCCTAGGATTTGAGACCAGAAATTGTTATATACTGAAAGATAAGCACCAGGATGTCAGAAGGAAGCTTTATATGAGTCTTTGAAAGAGGTGACCAATTTAAAACAAGACATTTAGAGTGGGTTAAAATCCAATATGGCCAGCATCTTTCTAAATAGATCACACACACACACACACACACACACACACACACACACACACACACACACACACACGAGAGAGAGAGAGAGACAGAGAGAGAGAGACAGAGAGAGAGAGAGAGCACCTGGGAAGACACAGGCAAAGGCTGGGTACATGTGAGTTAAAGAGGGAGGCTTTGAAGAGAAAGAAACTCTGTCATTGCCATGGTCTTGGATGCTCAACTTCCAGAATTTGAGAAAATCAATTTGTTTTGTGTATCAACGCAGTGTGTGGCATTTTCTATGACAATGCAAGCAAAGCAATTCAGAAATCTATTCAACTACGAAGGGGATGCTGTAGCCTGCACAAATAAAAACTGACAATGCTCCAGCATATGTCTCCACAAAATTGGAACAATTTTTCAAATATTATAACATAAAGCATGTTACTGGTATACCACACAGTCCTACGGGACAAGCAGTAGTTGAGAGATCTATTAGAACACTAAAGGAGAAGCTCAATAGACAGGCTTGGAAGACTAAACGCCCCAAACATAGGTTGCATAATGCTTTATTAACACTAAACTTTCTTAATGCCAATGAAAAAGGACAAATGGCTATGGAAAGACACTGGACGACAGAAAAAACTGCTGAATTGAATCAGCCGGTATACTTCAAAGATGTACTATCCTCTGTATGGAAAGCAGGACATGTGTTATGTTGGGGTAGGGGTTTTGCATTTGTTTCCACAGGAGAAGAAAAACTTTGGATACCACCAAAGTTGATCAAAATTCGAGTAGAAAAAGACAAAACTCTTGATATGGACAAGTGACAGGTATTCTACTAAGGTATATCTTATAAACTAAATAGAAACCTCCCAAAGGAAAGGGAAGTGTTTTGCTTTTATCTTCACAGGGAAACTCATCTCCAGAAGGCAAAGGACACTGCATGGGTAGACACTGAAGAAGAGAAGGTAGCTATAACCATCAAACAAAAGGAATGTGCCATATGGTAAACTTTACAGCTGTCTCTCAGAGAACTCTATTTCTCTTTATTTCCTAGTCCCTATTCAATTAAACCAATGCTGGATTTAGAGGTGGATTTGGCTTTCCTCCTCTAAAATCTAAGCGTGCTCTTTAACCAAACTTTAGAGTTTCTGTATTGTATCAAGAAACCAATTGATGTAATACAGAATAAGAGAAGAATTTGGGGACTGTCTTTGTCTTTTCTTGGCTCTTTCTTTCAAGGTGTGCACCCTCTCATAACTGTTATTCTCCCATGGTTGCCTTTTCTAGTATGCATACTTACACAAGCAAACATTTCTTTGCTAACATTTATGTTTAAGTCCCACACAGTCAATGAAGACCTGCCTGAGAGCAATCCCTGGACACCCCAGAAAGACAATGGGCCACACCTTCTCCACTGCACTGGATCCAACTTGCTCCATTTCAACTGACACTCTAGCCAAAGCTTCGGGTACTGACTTCAATCAAGTTGAGGATTTCAAGCGAGATCTTCAAT